CTGAGGGAGCTGGGGGTGTTTAGTCTGGAGAAGAGGAGGCTGAGGGGAGACCTGATCGCCCTCTACAACTACCTGAAAGGAGGGTGTAGCGAGGTTGCAGTTGGTCTCTTCTCCCAGGCAACCAATGATGGGACAAGAGGGCACAGTCTGAAACTGCACCATGGGAAGTTCAGGCTAGAAATGAGGAGACATTTCTTCACCGAAAGGGTCACTGGGCATTGGGATGGGCTCCTCAGGGGGGTGGTGGAGTCACCACCCCTGGAGGTGTTTAAGAAAAGGCTGGATGTGGCACTTTTAGTGCCATGGTCTAGTTGACATGGTGATGTTAGGGCAAAGGTTGGACTCGATGATCCCAGAGGTCTCTTCCAACCAAATTCATTCTGTGCTTTTGGGAGCACTGTGCTCCTTCCCAGCCAGGAAACCAGCTACCAGCAGTGCCCAACCCCATGGCAGCAGGAGCTCTGCCTCAAGGCCTTTGTCCATCACATGAGACCATGACCTATTGTCCCACTGGTCTCCCCCTTCCTGATTGAGGAAGCCTAAGTGTAACAGCAAAGCCTATGGCCTTTTGCCAAAGTACTCTGAATCACTTCTTCAGTTTTGGGTTCAGGCAGGCAGCTGTCAAACAGCAGCTTTTTTTTTTAATAACCTTACAGCTATTTATTTGTATGTATAGGCACTGGTACTGGAACAGCACTGAACTTGTGAAGAGCTGTTGAATTCAAAGCTTTGAGTAGCCCATAAATGAACAAACTCAATTGACGGACTGCACCCAAAGCAGTGTGACCAGCAGGTTGAGGGAGGGGATTCTGCCCCTCTGCTCCACTCTGGTGAGACCCCCCTGCAGTACTGCCTTCAGCTCTGGGGTCCTCACCACAGGAAGGACATGGACCTGTTGGAAAGAGTCCAGAGGAGGGGATGATCCAAGGGCTGGAGCACCTGTGCTCTGAGGACAGGCTGAGAGAGTTGGGGTTGTTCAGCCCGGAGAAGAGAAGGCTCCGGGGAGACCTTAGAGCAGCTTTCCAGCACCTAAAGGGGCCTACAGGAAAGCTGAGGACGGACTTTTTACAAGAGCCGATAGGGAGAGGGCAAGGGGCAATGGCTTTAAACTGGAAGAGGGAAGATTTAGATTAGATATCAGGAAGAAATTCTTCACTGTGAGGGTGGTGAGGCGGTGGGACAGGTTGGCCAGAGAAGCTGTGGATGCCCCATCCCTGGAAGTGTTCAAGGCCAGGTTCGATGGGGCTTTGAGCAACCTGGTCTGGTGGAAGGTGTCCCTGTCCATGGCAGGGGGGTTGGAACTGGATGGGCTTTAAGGTCCCTTCCAACTAAACCAGTCTGTGATTCTATGAATTAACAGGGAAGTAACAGTACAGGGATATTTTCATTTCACATTTTTATTAGTAGACAGATGTGCAGAAAAGACAAAATATAACTACTGAAGGGGAAGACAACACAAAAATGCATCAGTTAATTCTTTCTGGTAAATTATACTGAAGAAAAAAAGGAAAACATCTGAGATTTCAGCTAAGAAAACTACTAAGAAATCTAGTATACCCTGCTGGTTTCAGAATGGTTGAAAA